ATATATATATATATTATAATCCTGATATACTTGTAGAAAAACCTGATTTTATTTCTTTTTGTGATAATTTAATGATACTTTTGTTGTTGTTGTTCTCGGTAGGATTGTTTAGTACTTTAATGAGTAATAAAGTTTAGCAACAATTAAGATTAATAATGGCTTGAATGGGTATTGAAGAAAAACTTTAAAAATCTTGTCGAAACGTTGTACATTTGCTGTTATGTTAAACTTATATTAAAGTTTTTCTTCATTACCCATTCAAGCCATCTCCAGCCATTATTAGTCTCAAAGTGGGTTCCTCATCATCGAACAATTAAGATTGTTTCCTTAGCAATTTTATATTTTTTTTTGTCAAATACTTTACACATCTATTTGATTTAAAACTAAAAGTAGCATGTTATTATTTAGGTACATAGAAGAACATGTACAGAAAACATGGGTTGCTATAGAGACTCATGGTTTTACTATAATAACAAACTGGAGAAATTGAGGATCACTAACTGTAAGTTTTTTTTTACTTTATGCTGTTAATAGAGCAAGTAAGTTAACAAAGAAAATACAAGCAACAAATAGTGAATAAGAATAGTAATAATGATATAAACACCTGTTGTTTACCACTTTGTGCAATGAAATTGTATGGAGAGACATAAAATTTAAACACTGTGTAAAAAAAAATAAAAAAAATTCAGTTGTTTGTATACAAACTGTCTCATATTTCTGTCTTTGGTCTTCTATCATTGGCTCAGTGGTAAGTCAGTCTGATGGCTTATAACACTAAAAACTGGGTTTCAATACTTCTGGCTGGAACAGCACAGATAGCCCAAGTAGCTTCATACGTAACAACAAACAGATAACTAACAGTTTTCTATAGTGTGTTATATTGTGACCAATACTTAGAATATGTTTCTCCAGTATTGGGTAAAATTTACTATACTTTTTTTTTTCTCCATTTTAATGGTGAATAATAGACTCGCTTCTTCCTGTAGCTTTCAATAGAATTGTATGATTACAAAAGGTACATATTTAATGGATCTGTGCTTGTCCCTATAAGTTTCATTTTTTCATGTAGACGCAGTCACTGTCTGTAAATGGTTAATCTACAGTTGTTGTTTTTGTATTACACATGACTTTTGTATCAAATCAACTCCTTGTGTGGTTGAACAGAGTTGATTCACAATATGTAAGAATGTATAGATAAGAACAAAGTGTATAATTCCCGTATAAATTTTAAAAATCTTCCTTCCATTTTTCTTCAGTTACTCCACCTGAATGTAGCTTGTAAGAAATGCTCCTGACGAACTTGTAAGACTTTGTGAATTTTCAAAAAATCTAGTCATTGAGTAGAATGTTTGGCTTGTTGTAATTAATTGCACATGCTACCACAAAACTCAAAGGTGGCAAACCAATCCTATCTGAGGTGGTCCCTATCTTCAAGAAGACAAGGTAACACTATAAAAACAACTTACAGCAGTCATGCTTGTCAGTAGCAATAAATACAAAACAAAAGAAGTCTTGTAGAAAGAAATTTATAAAAACCATGCTGTTATATAATTTGTAAAGTTATTACTCGCATTACTTTTGGATCTTAAACTTTTAAACATTCACTAAGAAATTCAAACATGAAAAAGAAAAAAAATTGTGGAATATATCCCAGAAAATTAATATCTGTACGTACATTTAATACATATAAACTTCCCCCTTCAAAATAATTTATATAAATTACTGGCTTCAAACTTTGAAAACACCTTCTTCATAGTTAACTGAAAGAATTGTTTAGGAAAGATGGTACTGTTCTTGATACTTCAGTTTTTTAAGGGGGGAGAGAGGGGGGTTTAATATTTTTACTAAAGAAGTTTGAAAAAGATTGGTACAAGTATAGACATATTGTTTTTGTGTTTTTTTCTCTGTCTTATTTAATCTTTAGGGCAATGTTTGAAATGTTGTCATTAGTCCTTCCTTCTGTATGAAGTCTAAACCGATGTTTGTTTTTGAACTATTATTCTTAAAATGTTTTAAACAGATTCACTTCCAGTTGGAACAAATATTCTGTACACCGGTTCTTTACTGTTCATAACTGGAGAAAAATAAATACTCTGAAACTGTGTGAGACTTGTAGTTTGACTATACTGCTGTTGCTCTTGACAGGATTTAGCCATATCCAATTCCTTCTTTAGTTTTTATTGCAGGTTAACTCTGAACGATTCTCTTTCAATATCTAACTAGGCCTAAGATTTTGTCAACCTATCATGCAAGAACAAAATCAAATGAAACAATAGAAGTAAACTACCTACTTGGAAGTTCCTGCAGTGGTTCAAATGTAAGATAGCACTGCCCTACGGAAGAACACAAAGCAGATGTTAACAGGATTATCTTTAGTTATGAATCCTATAACACAGTTCAATAAAAACAAAATAAACTGATCAATAATACATAATACTATGAAAACTATAGCCTATTCAGTTTTGTATTATATTGCAATTAAATTTTTCAAAAAGAAACTGTTAGTTTGTAAAGTGGCACATTAGACCTGTGTCTATAAAATAAAAAACTAAATGCACACACAAATATATTTAAGCATTGAGTAAAACATTCTATGGTTTGTATACAAATTGACTCATATTTCTGTTTTTGGGGTCTCTTCCCCAGTTGATCAGTGGCACTAAAAAACAAAACAAAAAGCTTTATAGAAAGAATAATGTAAAACCATACTGTCATAATTATGTCTGTGCCTAGCATTTTTATGTAAAGCTCTAGCACAGAAAGCCCATTGTGTAACTTTGTGCTTAACAACAAACAAACAGTCGATTGTCAGTGCACTAAGCAATCTGTTTGGTAAATGTTAACAGAAGTTTTTCACATACACAGATTTTGAATAGTTTATTATTTTTTTCATCATTAACAAATCAAACAACATCTGTCCCCTTTTTAAAAGATAGTTAGGTTGCATAAAATATTTTGTTTCAACTTCGTTTGTATTCTAGTGTATTGTGTTTGGGTATTTGAATATCTTTTGGAAACCTGATATGTATAGAAATGATTGTCAGAAATAAATGGAATATTTATAAAAGCTTTTGTTCATTCAAGTTATTTTCTTTCTAAAGCTGTAGATGAAACTGAAAATTTTCTGACTTGTCCTACTCCTAAAATGTATTCAAATTATTTAATAGAATAATAACATAGAAAATTTTCTCTATTGACCTAACTTACTGTTGAAAATATAAATGATATTGTATGTTGTTGGTTTAAAGTTATCAAATAAGGATATTTTTTTCAGTGAAAAATAAACCTGTAAAATATTTTTCATAAATCTAGTAATGATGAAAATTTGTAATTTTTTGTTATTGAACTTACAATGATATTTAGTACTTTTTTATGCCTTAATACATTTTTCTGCAATTTTAAACCTGGCTGACATTATATGACATAATGTCACTATTACTGGAACGTATATTCTTTGCAGTAAATTTTATCACCAACATCCTGGTTTGAAACTGTGCTGATGATATATGACTTGGATAATCTATGAGAGTTTTAACCTCTTTAGTTATTGTTACTAGGCTGAAATATTAAGAACATCCAACGATATCTGGCAGAACCACCTGCAAGATCTGAGATTCTTTTCACAGCATTCATCATCGTCTCTTTTTTTGTAGTAGGCTTTAATAATTTTTAAAAGTTTTTGTCATATGTGTTAGGACTGGTCTAGATCTCTCAACTCTTTCAGTGTAGTCCATCATCGGGCTGCTTGCTGGCTTTGGTAGGCGAGCTGCCCAGTGAAGGGCTGTCCTGTTAGAGTATCCTCGGCATGCTACGTCTCACTTAATGAAGATGAGGGCATAAGCTGTGTGATTTATCAGTAAAAATTAGATTGGTTATCTTATAATGTATGCATATTAAATGTTCTAAAACATTTGTTTATAATAAAATGGAAGTTTTAAAGTTATGAATGTGTTACAGTGAAAATGTGTTTATGTAACAACACTGTAGGTGGAGTAACTTGAGTAATGTAATTTTTACTAAACCTTGAAAATAAGGTTTATATAACAACACTGTAGGTGGAGTAACTTGAGTAATGTAATTTTTTACTGAACCTTGAAAATAAGGTTTATATAACAACACTGTAGGTGGAGTAACTTG